GGGGGGGGGGGGGGCAGCACCCGAATAAATGTCTATTAGCTGAGTGGGAAGAGCTGGGTTTTGCTTATTCTTTGACCTCACTCGCAGGCACCAGCTCTGGGCTCAGAAGGCCGATGGCACAATCCTGCTGCATCTTCCTCCTTTTTCCCTTCCCCCACCACCTCCCCAAAACCCCATGAAAGCTCTTACCAGGCTCCTTCTTGAACACACCTGTACCTGCAGGGCCTGCCCTTCTGCCAAGGTAGAGCTGACCACCGTTAGAAGAAAACATGAACCTCTCAGGTCCTAGGCTCAGCAGGAATGTCTTACTTTTTTCTCTGTGTTATGTAGTGGAGAGAAAGGGAATAACACCGTGGGTGCTGGACACCAAGCAGGCACAGCCTGGGCTGCAGCTCCAGGGTGCAGCCTCACCACACTGGGGAGAGGAGGGCCTTCTTGAGCAGGGCATTTTACTCCCACAACCAGGGAGGGGCAGAGGTGGGGGGCAGGAGGAAGCAAAGTCCTGAGAAGCTCCTCATTTTCTTTGAAGTGAATTTCTCTCCTTGCCCTTTTCTGCCCTTCTCTGAGCTCAGGGCCCAGCTTGGCCTCCAGTCTCCTGGGCCTCCCCTTCTTCTTTATCTCTGCTGACCACTGAGAGTTCTGAGAGTCCACCAACTCCTGTGCCCTCCAGACCACACTGATCTGAGCTCCCCACTTCTGCATTTCCCCCCCACACCTAGGACACCCAGAGGTCCCAGGTCCCAGCAGGGCCTCCTTACTGAGTTGCCACCTAGCTTACGCTCTAGCAGAGGGTTATCGTGGGAACAGGCCTGTGCTGGCCCCATGCAGGGCCCTGGAGGACAGGGGGCAGGGTGTCACTTGCCCCATCTTTCACTGATCAGAGTCAGCTCAGCCCTCACATCCAGCCCAATGTCCCCACCATGTGCTCCGAGTCTACTCACTAGGTCACTCAGGAGCCTTAGCCCCCTTCAGCCTGTTCCTCTGCATCACTACTGGCCTCTTGGCTCAGACTCCCTGTTGGCCACCACGGGCTATATCAGCCCTTTGAGTTAGAAAGGGCTCATTTTCTCAGTAAGACTAAAAAGCACAATTTTTCCATCAATCAATGAACAAACGCTGCTTCAGCACCCACTAAGTGCCAGGCAGTGGGAATGCCCAGTGAAAATAATACAGGTTCTGACACCAAACCCAACAGAAACTGAGTGTTGGCTTTCACCCAAATCTAATTCCCTCTCCCTCCTTCGCATGAGTAGACAGGGCCTGGATCTCTGTGGGAAGCCCACAGGAGTCAAGTATTTGTGTTTTACTTTTACTCTTGGTTACACTCAGTTTGAATTTTATCACTTGTGACTCTGGAACAGCAGCATGTGGGGTTTGGAAATGACTTTACTACTTTTGTTTCTAGACATGCAGCTGCTGGATGTCTGTTCACTGGAGCATCCTCTGCACCTCAGGGATAGGGCAACACGGGGGGGAGGGGGGAAGAGGGTGAACAGGCAGGGCAACAGCCTCATTCCCATGTGCCATAAAAGTAGCAGATAGAATTGGTGACAGCATGGATGGACCTAAAGGGTATTACACTCAGTGAAATAAGTCAGCCTGAGAAAGATCAATAGCATATGAGTTCACTTGTATGTAGAATGTAAAGAACAAAACAAATGAGCAAACAAAATTGAAACAGACTCATAAACACAGAGAACAGGCTGATGGTTGCCAGAGGGGAAGGGGTGTGGGGGACTGGGTAGAAAAAATGAAAAGTGGTTAGAAAAAAGTGACAAAGACGTAAATTATAGCATAGGGAATATACTCAATAATATGGTAATAACTATGGATGGTGCCAGGTGGGTACTGGGAATATCAGGGGGAACACTTTGTAAAGTATATGATTGTCTGATCACTGTGCTATACACCTGAAACTAATACAAAATAATATTGAAAGTGAACTGTAATTGTAAAATAAAATTTTAAATGAAGTAAAAGTAGCAGGTGTGAATGTCATTGTGATACCATATAATTAACCTAGTAATTAATTAACGGGAAAGGAGCAGATAATTAAAGGGAAGGCCAGATAATGTAGGCATGCCATTTGTGCCAGAAAGGTGTAGTTTAACACTCTCCAAGTCTGTTCCCCACAGATCCTGGGGGAAGGGACTGGACAAAGAAAGAATGGAAGCATACCCAATAAGGTCTGAATTACATAGGAAAGGTGATTAACTGTCAGTCACATCTGGGAGCAGGTCATTGTCTAGAACAGGCATGGCCACTGCAAGGCTCCAAATCTGAGATGCATAAGCTCCTGAGCAAAGAGAGTTGCCTCTCTCGGCCCTCTTGTGCTCCTGGCTCCCTTGTGGCAAGGGGTGTGTTCCCAAGCATTCGTCCACATGGCCCACAGCCATGCGAACCCCACACACAATGGACTAATGGATCACAACTAGCCTGATGCTCTGCTGGACTTAACTCCACCATGGAAAGGAAACTCTGAACACTGGCATTACTTCTAGCTCTGCTGAATTCCCAGCTGCACTTTTCCTAGGACTGGCTTAAGGGAAATGGCACTTTTAAAACTGAGGGATATAACTTTATGAAAATAAAAATCACCCCTTCTCCTGGGCCAGTCTAAGAAAATTCTTTTTCTCAAGATATCGTAAGGACCCGACTCCCAGTACCCAGTGGGGAAAGGGATCCCCCACTTCCACCAGTGGACACCCCACTTCCACCAACAACAACTGTACAGAATCAAACTGTAGGAAAATCCATATAACATATCTTCTAGAAGGCAGTTAGAGTCTGACTCTAAACACCCATCCAATTGGACAGGCGACAACATCATCCTGGTCATTACCAAAAGCTCCTGCCTGTGCACAATCAAACTCGAATTAGGGAGGGTCACATGGTCAGGACAATGGAGAAATGCCTCTTCTCTTTAGGTCATCATGGTTGCTGCTCCACTGATACCTTCTTTTCTTTTTTTTATATCTCTTTATTGATTTCAGAGAGAGGAAGGGAGAGGGAGAGAGAGAGAGAGAAACATCGATGATGAGAGAGTCATTGATCGGCTGCAGCCTGCAACCCGGGCATCTGCCCAGACCGGAAATCAAACCCCGATCACCTGGATCCTAGGTCAATGCTCAGCTGCTGAGCCACGCCTGGCCGGGCTTCCACTGATATTTTCTACGATGACCTAGACTTTTTTTTCTCTCTCTTTTTAATATCTTTTTATTGATTTCAGAGAGTGGAAGGGACAGGGAGAGTGAGATAGAAACATCAATGATGAGAGTCATTGATCGGCTGCCTCCTGCATGCCCCCTGCTTGGGATCGAACTCACAACCCGGACATGTGAACTGACCGGAAATCAAACTTCAGCCTCCTGGATCATAGGTAGATGCTCAACCTCTGAGCCACGCCAATCAGGCAACCTAGACTTTTTAACATTAGAAAGTTCTTGTCTAGAAGGCCACACATAGAGGATGTGATATTTTGCTGAGCGAAGATCTCCCTGTGTTGGGCTCACCTCAGCAGACACTCGCAGCTGTCATCCCTCCACATCTTCCCAACAATAAGGGTCCTGCCTGGTAGCTGAGCATAAGCTCCAGCTCTGGGCTAATGCCCTAGTGCTCCAAATATACACAGCACTCTCTTGTGTCATGGGGCAAATGCTCTGGCTCAGGTAAAGTTCAAAGCCCTGCCTTTTCCCATCTAGTTGCACACAAAGCACACAGCAACACATATCTCAATGACCTGGAGGACATTTACCAAGAAAGAGCAGTCCTGTCACCCTGTTACTGATTTGGAGCTGGAAAAAAGAACCCCTGTATCTAACATTTATAAAGACCTATTTAAAAATACCAAGCAAGCAAGCAAGCAAGCAAGCAAGCAAGCAAGCAAGCAAGCAAGAAAGAAAGAAAGAAAGAAAGAAAGAAAGAAAGAAAGAAAGAAAGAAAGAAAGAAAGAAAGAAAGAAAAGAAGAGAAGAGAAGAGAAGAGAAGAGAAGAGAAGAGAAGAGAAGAGAAGAGAAGAGAAGAAAAGAAAAGAAAAGAAAAGAAAAGAAAAGAAAAGAAGAAAAGAAAAGAGAAAATGTGGGAAGCAAAATAAAAATAATATTTTGAAAGTTGCAAAAAAGACAAAAAAGAAGTTTCCCAGCCACATACTCTTTCAGGTACAACATTTACTTTGCTCCAGACCCACAAGAAGAGTCCATTCGCAGCATGGCTATGGAGAGAACCACACAGCCAGCTCCTAAGATGGGGCCAATAGGCCCAAAGGAATGTAAGATCTTGAAAATTTGTTCCAGGAACATGTACTGAATTGGCTCTGCCTTTCCTACCTATCACCATACTTCTGCCAGTACCACTCTCTGTAGACTTGCAAAACTCAACAGGGTTTAGTCCCAGTCTTGGTATCCCACACAACACTGTGTCTGAACAATAAATATATTTCACCATGAAAGGAGTTCAGCAACTGGTTTCTTTTTTTCATAGCCTATTGCTACTCTACATTTCTCATCCACGGATTTGGGAAGCCCAGGGAATCTCAGGTAGAACCAAAAGAGTCACATCTAAGCACATAACAGTCAAATTGATGAACATCAAAGAGAAAGAGAAAATGGTGAAAGTAGACAGGAGAGATAAGAAGATACATTACTTTAAAGGAAGCAACAATGTCAATAAAAATAAGCTTTTCTTCAGAAATATTGGAAGTCAGAGACAGTGAAAGGACATTTTTAAACAGTTGAAAGAAAGGAAAAATAGGCAATTGATTTCTGGAATTGAACTTGGAGTTCTATATCCAGTGAAAATATTGTTCAAAAATGAAAATGAAATAAAGACATTTTCACAAAAGCAAAGGTAAGAGAACTTGTTGCCATCACGCCTGTACTGCAAAAAGTATACTAAACTAAGTTCTTTAGGCTGAAAGGAAATGATTCTTATTGTAAGCAGGAAGGAAGAAAGGGAAACAAAAGTATAGAATGTGACTAAATATAAAAAGTAGGGGAGGATACATAGAAATGCATGATTACAAGGTTTCTATATGAAATGGTATAACATGAATTCATACTAGATGGTAGTTTGTGAAGGAGGCATATTGTAATCCTAGAATAAACACTAGAGTAATGTATAGAGATATAACTAAAGGCCAATAAAGAAGACAACATGAGATACAACCAAAGAAGTCAGAAAGAAAATGACAAAGGAACAAGGAATAAATTACTCTCATTGAAATCGAATAGTAATATGATATTCTTCAACCCAACACTAGCTGCAATTGCATTAAATGTAAATAGATCAAGGACTCCAATTAAAAGGCAGAGATTGTCAGTCTGGATAAAAAATGCAAGGCCAAATTTTGTGCTGTTTGCAAGAGACACAACTTAAATATAAAGACATGAATAGGATGAAAGTAAAACTATAAGGAAAAAAGGATATATCCTGCAACACTGATTAAATAAAACAAAACAAAAAGCCCACTTGTTATGACTCAGTGGTTGAGCGTTGACCTATGAACCAGGAGGTCTCAGTTCGATTCCTAGTCCTGACATAAGTCCTGGTTTTGGGCTCGATCCGCAGTAGGGGGCGTGCAGGAGGTGGCCCATCCATGATTCTCTCTCATCATTGATGTTTCTATCTCTCTCTCCCTCTCCCTTCCTCTCTGAAATCAATAAAAACATACATAAAAAAAAAAACCACACACAAAAAAACAAACAAAAACACCCCCACAGCCATGCCCATGAAGTGTGCTGCTTAACTTTTGAATTTTTGTCACCTATGAGATGAGATAAAGTATCTCTGGAATTTTTATTTCCTTTTTTTTAATTTTTGTTTTGGTTTCTCTTAATGTGACTGAAGTGGGGATACTTTTCAATATTTTCTAAAATAGAATATATTTTATTGAGATCTGTGCAGGTCTTTGTCCATTACTCTATCAGATTTTTTGTCTTTTTCTTCTGGATTTTCAGAGTTGTTTACATATTAGATAGATTAACTCTTCAACTGAGTTTATTTCCAAGTTTGATGTCTGCATTTTGAATTTCTCTATGGTGCTTTTTGACATACAGATTTGCAAGAATTATTTCTTTACATATCAAAAATTATTTATCAATCATTTATTTTAACGTTTTTGTATTCAGAGTGCTAGAAAGTCTTTACACTTTCTAAGTTCATAAAGAAATTCACCCATGTTTATTTCTAGGGCATGTATGGTTTTATTTTATATATGATCTATTTGTAGTTTATTTTGGTGGTTTTTATGAAATAGGACTCCAACTTACTTTCTTTAATAAATGACTAAGTCAATTGTGATTGAAAAATAAAACAAAGAAAAAAATTACTATCTAGTTTTTCCAATATCATTTATTAGAAAGTTTCTCTTCTCCCAGTTATTTGAAATGCCATTTTATTATAAGCTACAAAGCTTTATGTACTTGGGGATGCTTCTGGGTTTCCTATTCTGTTTCATGGCCCCCTCTGTCTATTCTTGAGCCAGCACCACACTGTTCTCAGAAAAGAAGTTTTACAGGGTGTTTTTAATATCTGATAAGGCTTACCCTCTCCCTTACTGTCCTTTTTTCTTTTGCTCATAATGTTCTGAGCTATTCTTGCAGGAGTATTTTCCACATACATTTCAGAAATTATCTAGAACTTGTGCAACACTGGAAGAAAAAAATGATAATTTTATTGGAATCAAATTAAATGTTGTATTAGCTTAATACCAAAGATATGCAAAATGTAGTAGTTCTTTGGGCAGTGCTGTAAGAATACTATTGGGCTTCCTGATATTCATTCCCACTTCATAAGAGAGTAACTACTGGGAGAGCCAACCCTCTCCAAATCTTAGTACACATGGTTGGGACAGAGCAGACCCCAACCTGTCCAAAGACTGTCACTGAGGCTTACAGGGATCAGTGGTTTCAATTTCTCTGAACAACTCTACATATACCTGAAGCAGGGAGCAGATTGGGCTTTGCTTTGACTGCCACCGTGTATCTCCCATCCTATAGGCTCTTCTTATATGACTGCAAACTTCTTTCCTTTTGAAATCTGGGTGAAGGCTTTTGATTGCCCCAAGAAGGGGAATATGGTAGAATGGATACCATGTGACTTCAAAGTCTAGGAAAGAAAGAATACTTCTGCCAGGGTTGATTTGGAAGACAGGCTCACTCTGGGGAAGCCACAGTAATGTTGCAAAGAAGACCAAACATTCCTATGCAGAGACTATATGAGAGACCATCCCAGAGAGGAAGTGACATGTCCAGCAGACAGCAGGCATCCACGCTGGGCATGTGGGAGTCAGCCTTCAGCCAATCCCAGACTCCAGGCTTCAAGATTCCCCTGACATCAAGGGAAGCAAAGGGGTGCTAGCCACACAAAACCCTGACCCAAAGGCTGATTCCTAAGCAAAATAAATGTTTTTGTTAGTGTTTTAAACCACTCAGTTCTTTAGTAACTAGAACGAGCCCTCTTCAGCATCACTGCCACACAATTCTGTCTGTCCATCCCTCTAAACACAGCCCTCACTATCTTTACCTGAGTACCAATGGTTGTCTCTCCTCCACGAGAAACAAGAAACCTCATCTCCAATACCCCTGAGTCTCACAAAAAGGGGACCTCAATAAACAATCATTCTAACTGTCAAGAGAGATCCAAGGAAATAAGTGTTCTTTGCATGTTTTGTCATGAGACTTGGGTACCTAGGGCCCAGGGCTCTGCTATTGGCCGATGCAGCATCATGAGCAGCCTCTCTGCAGCTTGTGGTTCCTGTTTGCAGCTGGTATAGTCACGACTGAGTCAAGAGCTCCGGATGCTGATGTGGTTACTGATAACTTCTTAGTCCTCTCAGGTCCAAGGACTTAACCAAACAGCTGTGATGCACTCAGAGTGACATACTTGACAAAGGACACAATACCAGAGAGCCCTGGGCTCAGAAGACCAGGAGGAAGCACCAGTAACTCTGACTTGGGCAGCCTTCCTGAGGACATGCAGCCACTTCTGCTTCTGATGGCCTTCATTCTGGCCTCCAAGGCACAGGCAGGTGAGTGACTGTCCCCCCACCAGAAGCCCAATGCCATGCCACACTGGCCCAGCCATGCTCAGATGCTACACTCAGACACATCCTGGCCCTGGTGTATCTCCAGGAGCTTTTTCAACTCTAGATTCCATCTCCCTCACAGACTAGCAAATCTGATGCTGAATGAAAACAGCAGGTATGGCAGGGCAGAGGACTGCTTTCTAGGAGAGCCAGGGGTTGCTCTCCCCTCCCTTTGTCACCTGGGAAGGGGCTCTTTTACAAAGGCATCTGGAAGAAGGTTGGAAGCTGGAAATGAGAAATAATTCCTCAGGAAATGGCAACTTGGAAAGGGTGGCTGGCTTCTGTAATCAAAGTAAAGCCCACTAATGTTCTAATTCAATGTCTTAAAATCTGCCCTCAATCTCCACCCCTTTCTCCAAGCTTTGTAAAGAAGATGAGGACCCAGTTGATCCCTGAGTTGGTGGCATCCTGGTTCCCTTAACACTTATGTTTGGCTGGTTTGGTCTCAAGTTCTCTCTGGTAATTTTTCAGTCACAGTCTTCTGAATATTACAATCCAGTGGTAGCTGGGTGAGTCTGGGAACAAGCAGGGAGAGAGAACCAGGGAGCGTGGGGGAAGGATTTTCCAGGACCTACAGGCACTTCACTGCTTATTCCAAACACAAATCCTGTCTACCCACATGTGTGACTGCAACAGAAATGAAGGAATCAGGATTGCTCTTCTCTTTGTCAGAGGGAGGACCTGAGTCTTGCAGGTCACCTAGCAAGCCAGGAATGTTGTCTAAGGAACCTGCGGGACCTCTTCTTGGCTGTGTCTGATGACTAAATACACCACTATCTGCCACCCAATTCTTCTCGTATGGTCTTATCTGTCCCAGTCTCCTCCTCTCCAGACTTTGGCTCCATGAGCACAGCAGAAAGAGTAGAATTTTTCTTTCAGGGACAATCATCGGGGGGCATGAGGTCAAGCCTCACTCTCGTCCCTACATGGCATATCTTCATCGGATCACAACTTCAGGCAGAAAAACCTGTGGGGGTTTCCTTGTGCGTAAGGACTTTGTGCTGACAGCTGCTCACTGTTCTGGAAGGTGAGAAGCACAGCCTGGGCCCCCGTGCTTCTGCAGATACCTCACAGGAAACCCTCTTCTCAGGGGCTTCACACCTAGGGGCACAGAGGAGCTCTTCAGGGCACAAGCCAGTGTTGGGGAGAGAGGGACATTTCAATGCAAGTGGCCTGTTGAAGACAGGAGGGACTGATGAAAGGGGCATAGGAAGGAGGCCAAGACTGTGCCCTGGAGCCCAGGGTACAAGTGTGAGAAATTTGTGGTTTTGCTTAGAGACAAGCAAGCTCAGTTTGTGACTGAGCACCCTAAATCTGCTCCCAGAATTGACACCTAGACCTAGCTGCCTACAAGCAAAGGGCACAAACATGCTCAGTCCCAGGCCCCATCCCCTAGAATTCCTCTCCACTTCAGTCCTGCCCTGGCCCCAGCTGTCCTCTTTTTCCCCCCCACTATATCCTCTGTGCCTCCATATCCCTGTCTGCTCTCCGTGCAGCTCCATCACAGTAACCCTAGGAGCCCACGACGTCGGGCAGCACGAGGGGACCCAGCAGGTCATACCGGTGAAAAAAATCATCCCCCACCCAAACTACCATCCCAAGTTCAATGACATCATGTTACTGAAGGTAGGGTTCATTGCTCCACTGGTTCTCACATACCTTAAAGCTGGGTTTTGCATCTCCCATGACCTCCTTCCTGTCCTCCTTCCCAGTGTGACCCCTTTACTTGTCCCAGGGCAGTGACTGTTCCTGGGGTCTGTGGGCCCTTACTGGATGAAAATTCCTGTCCCCTGCCTTCAGCTGCAGAGGAAGGCCAAACTGACTGCAGCCGTGAGCCTCCTCAGGCTGCCCAGGAGAGAAGAGCAGGTGAACCCAGGGATGGTGTGCAGTGTGGCCGGCTGGGGACGTCTTGACCTGTACACCACCACAGCCAGATTGCATGAGGTAGAGCTGGAAATCCAAAGGAACGAGCAGTGTATTTCTCTCTACAGAAGTCATTACAACACAACCACACAGATCTGTGTGGGGAACCCAGAAAAAAAACAGTCTACTTTTCTGGTGAGATCCCCAGCATTGTCCAGGCCCAGCCCTGGGCACACTCAAGCTTGGAGGGGACCTGGAGCAGTGGAAACTAGTCATAACCCCATGTCCTCAGCCTTTCCATCAATCCATTCTCTGGTCTTGTCTTCCCAGGGGAGATGAGAGGCTGTCCCACAGCCACTGATGGGCAAAGGCTTCCTGAGGGAAAGGAAAGAAGACTATTAGGGTCAGGTTGGAAACCCAAGACCTCGGGAAGTGGGAAGACCTTCCCTTTCCCTGATCTCCCACCCAGCCCCTAATAGAGACCACCCACCCCCAGGACAGAGAGGAGGGCAGTGCCAGGAGAAGACCCAGCTCAGTCCTTTCTTCCTCTGTCCACAGGGTGACTCTGGAGGCCCCCTGGTGTGTGACAACACAGCCCAGGGCATTGTTGCCTTTGGGAAAAAGAATGGAAAACTTCCACGTGTTGAAACCAGGATCTCCAGCTTTCTGCCCTGGATAAAAAGAACAATGAGGCGTTTCTGACTGCAGAGACCAGGCTGAGGCACCCCAGCATTGATCCATCCATCTCCTCTGAGGCATAGGCCAGAACTGCATTGTGCAGACAGGGTGGAAGGGAAGCTGCCAGACACATAATAAACTTGTATCTCTAGAATGGAAGTCACTGATTCCTCCTTTATTCACCAAAACATGTGTTAGTTCCCTACTGTGTGTCCGACGACCATCTCTTCACATTTCTCCTCTGTTTGAGCATCCCCCTTCAGCAAACCGCTGCTTTGATACCCAATTCCTTCCCAATATGCCTCCCAGTGCCAGCTCCCCTGCCAGGCAGAACAAAAACTCTACCAGGAAAGGAGAGACATCCCCCAGAAAAGGTGACTGTCTTCTAGAGGACCCTCTTGTCTCATCCATATTGCCCTCCTTAAAGCTACATCTACACCCCTACCCCATGCAGCCCCAATGCCAATATGCAACATAAAAGAATTCAGAAATTGGATACAGAGTCTCATAAGAAGCTCTGGAGTAAGGGGCTACTTCTTCACCCTAACAGAAATGGGTGGAAAGACTTTGGAAAGGTATAACTCACACCATGCAGCACTCGCCCGACAAATCGGACAACAGTGAAAGCCTGAGAAGTCAGGATACCCTTCAGTACTCCTGGGTCCAGCTCAAGTGCCTGGCACAGCCCTGTTTAGATCCCAGAGCCCAGTGCAGCCCCTGGTGTCCTGGCAGCCCATCCACCTGCAGCCAAAACTGAACTTGAGGGTGCTCTTTCATCTAGATCTCAGCCAGCCTCCCCCCACCTCCCATGTTTGTGTGTCTGCGTGCGTGTGTGTGTTTCTAAAGGAAATCCAAATCTTTTTTATATGACTGGATTAAGGAATCTCATTTGAAAACATACAACTTCAAGAAGGACAATAAAAAAAGAAGCAATTTGCTGAATGTCTGCCATTGATGAGTGTGCTTTGACTATGGGAAAGAGTATTTGGGGTATAAAAGTTCTACGTAGTCATCACAGAAAAGTAGTTAAACAAGGAGCATGTGAATAAGAAAATGGAAATTCCCTAGAATCCCACCATCCAAAAATCATCATCATTGATCTTTCAGCATCTTTTTCCCCTACTCTTTCTCTATGTATTCATAGGATGCCGTTCCTTAAACAAAATTGGGATTGGGCTGTTTAGAACTCATCATGCCTTCCTTTCCATTACTCTTTTTTCTGCCATCACATGGGTGGGAGTGTTGGGATAATCTGTTTGCAATTATTTATGATTGCTCAACCCAGGGACATCAGAGACAGGGTTCTCTGGACATTGGATGCAATGAACAAAAGCCCAGGACTTTTCTTCAAAACTGTGGCATAAGAGAAGCCCTCTGTGTCACAGAATATTTGCCTTTAAAGGGGAGGTTCCAATTATTCCAAAAATATTAGGTTGGAATGGTGGTAAGAGAGGAAACAGAGCTATTGTATTGGGTATTTGTATGTGTCCAGGCCACCTAGTCCACAGGCAAGTCCAACCTCTACTTCACACCACCAATTAGACCCCTGGCCGTGGCCCTTCCTTCCTTGTACCTTAACCACAGAGTCTCAGTAGACTCCAGCCAACTGTCAGCTTCTTCTCAAGAGCGGGAGCCAAGTCTCGCATATCCTTGGACCTGGCTTGTTAAATAATTATTCATGATTTCATCAGAATGGAAAGAGATCAGGAGCCAAGACATGGAAACTTGCTTGGTTTAGTCCCTGAAGGGTTCCTGAGGTCCCAGCCCTCTGCTGGCTGCAACCACGGCCTTCACCTTCTTGTTCCTTCTTGCCTTCACTTTGTCGCTTAGCAAAGGGAGCACAAATGTGGTGACAGTGCCATTGTTACCTAACCAAGCAGAGAGCTTCGACAAACACCTGGTATGATGACACCCAGCAAAACTAGAGGGGGGTGGTTGAGGAAGTGTATGAGGCCACTGAGCCTCACGCCCCTGCTCTTCTCAGGGGTTTTGTGTCTGGAAAAAAGAAAGATTAGCAGCTCGGACCTCGGCAGACCATTGGGGAAGATGCAGTCACTCCTGCTCTTGTTGGTCTTTCTTTTGCCCCCCACATCCCAGGCTGGGACTGGTAAGTGACCATCCTCGTTCCAGAGGCCTAAGCCCATCTCACAAAATCCCCTCTACTCCTGACTTTTCATCCCAGCACAGGCAGGGACTTTTCCGCCATTTGAGCTCAGGAATTTCCTGAACCCCAGCTCCCATCCCCACCCAGGGCTGACAAGTTTGGTGCTGGATAGACACTCAACAAGGATGGCCCAGAGGAAGGGGTGCACCAAAAGGTTTAGCAGCTTCTAGCCTTTCTCTTATCACCTAGAAAATGAGTTGTTCAGAGAAAGGCATCTGGCAAAAGATGTGAGGCTACAAAAGACAGGTTATGAAAATCACTCACTCAGACCCAGGAAAGGGCACCTCAGACAAGCTAGCTACAGTAGTGCAAGCTGTCACTGGACCCAGCTTAAGAAATAGTTAAATTTCTCCGGAGGTGCTGGGTGGCTGTGGCCTCTCACCTTCTACTGCAGTGAGTAGGTGTCAGAATCTCACAAAAGGACACACCACAGCTGGTCTCCTCCTCATCTTTAAAGTGAAAGTTGGCCATGCCCAGGAGAGGAGCCCAGGGAGTGAATGATCTGAGAAGTGGCTGAATGGCTGCACACAAGCTTCCCAGCTGCCTTGGCTCTGACCCAGACTGAGCACCCATTTCCAGCCCCACCTCCCCTGCTTCCCAGGCCCCTGGCTGCTCCGCTGTCCCTGGCTGTGCCCTCTCCCCATCCCTGTGGCCTTGAATCCCACCAAACATCGGCCAAAAGTTAATTGTGGTCCATGCATTCATACAGGCAAAAAATGTCTACTGAGAACCTAGGATGTATTAGGCTGTAGGACAAGAGGGTTTTAGAAAATCCAACTCCGTAAGTTCATGGACAGATTATTAGAAACAGCAGCGATCAGGGTGTTAACACAGGTTCAGAGTGTCAGGGAGACTCACTGAGTCCTGTTCACATCCCTTGGGCTCCACCATCTTCAACATAGGCCTTGTCTCCATCATACAAGGGGATTCTGAAGCTTGAAGTTCAGAAAAGGTGTCTTAGCTACAAGAGGACCTAAGAGACCCTCCCCAGTGTCTTTAGGACACCTGGACCACCCACCTCAATCATCACCTTGCTAAGCTTTCCCTCCTGAACATGGACACTGCCAGTCACCCACCTTCATCTTTATCCTTCAAGGGAGATCATCAGGGGACATGAAGCCTAGCCCCACTCCTACCCCTACATGGCCTACCTTCGCATTAAAAATGAGAAGGAGTCCAGGTGTGGCGGTGTCCTTGTGAGAGAACTTTCTCCTGACAGCTGCTCACTGCAGTGGAAGTTGAGTGGCAGCAGCCAGCCTGCACCTCCTTAGACCCATACAGGGTCCCTATCCTTTCCTCACAGGCTGCAGCCCAGGGCAGCTCCCCAGGCTCCAGGTAACTCAAGCTCAAGAGAGCTCATCAGAGGAGCCCTCTGAGATCATGACTGGGGCAGTGAGAGGCTGAGAAATAGGAGAGGTAATCTTTGGGCTGAGAGGGTCAGAAGTGAGAGCAAGTAACGCTGCTGGGAGGAAATGGACCACACTTTGCAAATAAAGCAGCAGTAGAACCCATACATTAGGGTCAAAATGAAAACTCAAGCAATTAAATTATATTTTCTGAGGGCAAGAAAAAGTTCCAAAAAGTCCTGCACTCAGTGTCATTGAGAAGCAGTCACTCAGCACCCTGCCCCCTGTGGCCTCGATTTCCCCTAGCTGCAGCCCTGCCTTGCCCTGGGTTGTATCTCCTGTGATTACACACACACAGACCCGCTCACCCGCTCTGCTCTCTATACAGGTCAAGCAGTGTCACTTGAGGGCCCACAACATCAAGGAGCAGAAGAGCCAACTCCCACCGAGACTATAATCCTAGGAACTTCTCCAGTGACATCATGTTATTGCAGGTAGGAAACCTCCTGCTGCTTTTGGAGTTCTGGGTTTTATTGTTTCTCCTCTCACTGTGACCTGTTTCTTCGTTTCTTTCCATCCTGTCAGTCTGACTTGTCCCAGTGGTTCAGGGGTGACAGAAGACACTGCAGCCTCATCTCAGTGCCCAGGCCCAGAGGCCACGGGCTGACCTGGGCTCTCTTGCTTCTTCCCCATCAGCTGGAGAGAAACAGAAATTGTCTAAAGCTCTGAAGCCCCTCTGCCTGCCCAGGGGAGAGGGCTGGTGAGGCTGGACAGAAGGGCACTGTGGCTGGCCAAAAGCCCATGGAGATGGGCACTTTAGCAACCACTCTGCAGGAGGGGGAGCTGACCGCTCAGAAAAACCAAGAATGCAAATTTCGCATACCCAGATGCTGCAGCAGAGAAGAGGAAGGCCAGCTTCCAGGTCAGGTTACCAGCATTTACCTTGACAGGTCCCAGGAAATAGAACTTGGGAAGCTCTGGGGTATGGGCATGCCCATCTCTTCATGCCACAGCCTAAGAGTTTGGACAGCCTGGTACTCAAACCCAGCCTTCAGTGTTTTCCCCTGGGTGGATAAGGGGTAGAGGGTGAGGAAGGATCAGTCATCCCACAGCAGTTATCACCAGAGTGTCCCCGGGAATTGGAAAGAAAGGCCTGGAAGGAGGACACAAGGCCTGCCCTGGCCCTGACCCCCCACCCCTGCCCCCCATCCTGCACCACACACACACACACACACACACACAGCCCCAAACACAGACCACCCACCCCTGGGTGGCCAGGAGGACAAGACCAAAAGGAGTCCAGTTCAGTCTTTCCCCTTCCTACTCACAGGGAGACTCCAAGGCCCCTCATGTGTAACAACATGGCCCAGGGTCTTTTCTCCTATGGAGAAAAGAAACCTCCAGTTTTCATGAACATCTCATACTTCCTCCCCTGGATAGTTAGGACAATGAAGTTCCTCTAACATGAGGCTGACCTTCCTCTTGGCCTGACCATCCTTCTGGGAGCAGAGGCA